GGACCACTCCTGGGGAGGGTAACAGTGGTCTTGAATTTCCTCCATTTTTACACAATCTGTCTGACTGTGAATTGGTGGAGTCCAAACTCTTTAGAGATGGCTTTGAAACCTTTTCTAGCCTGATGAGCAACAGCAACTCTTTTTCTGAGGTCCTCAGATATCTCATTTGTTTGTGCAATGATACACTTCCACAAACGTGACCAAACTTTGATAGATCCCTGTTCTTTAAATAAAAGAGGGCACACACTGACACCTGATAGTCATCTCACTGATTAAAAACACCTCTGAACAGATGGACTCTAATTTCATCCTCAAATTAACAGATAATCCTAGAGATTCACATACTTTTGCCGCTCACAGATATGTAATATTGGATCATTTTCCTGAATAAATAAATGATAAAGTATATATTTTTATCTCATTTGTTTTATTGGGTTCTCTTTGTCAACTTTCAGGGCTTGCATGAAAATCTGATGATTTTTGGGGTTATATTTATGGAGAAATATAGACAATTCTAAAGGGTTCACAAACATTCAAGCAGCACTGTATATCAGGAGGGTCGAGGCCAGGCTTTTTTAAGGACTGGGGTGACATTCACAGTTTTTAATTCTAGATGAACAACACCAGTACTACACAGTTGGCAAATGAGGAGCAAAATGGGCATAGAAATTACAGACACACAAATAGTGTGAACTGAATCAAAATGTCAGGATGACAAGTTCTTGATTAACTCAGAGATAAATGATAAGATCCACAAATCTGGGGGTCGGCCTTTTACTTAGACATTTTTATGTTTTTGTTTATTTTCATGACCAAAGAGGATTAAAAACATTTCAGGATTTCCACACAGTGTATTCCCTCCCTTTTTCCTGTATCTTAAGCTAAGGACTAATGACCAACCACTATAAACATGTATGGAACATGTTAGAAGTACACAGAGCTGCAGTCACTTTCAGTTATTATATCTGTTATTTATAATAATTTTAAATTACTTAAAGGAACTTTCAGGGTTTATTACAAGTTTAGATCAATCAACAGCACTTATGGCATAAAGTTGATTACCATAAATAATAAATATTAATAAAACAAAATCTTTTACAAGCTGTAAAGATCAAAATACTGTTTCAAAAATATAGGCACAAGACATAAATAATAGTTTTAACAATTTTTAGTGTGACATTTTTTTTTATATCTGTACTGGGATCAGTGCTCTCACAGAAGTCACTTTTAAACCAAGCAGATTTCTGTTGGTCAGCTGAGCGAACTTGCATGACCAACTTGAACTTGAGCAGATCTGCACGTGTAACTCCCATTCGCACAGATTCCTATATTAATTAATGGAATTGGCCTAAGAAATTTTACACAGTAACAGTAAATATGACTGCACCTTTAGTCCCTCATTGTTTGCACCTGTGTCCTGTTTCCCTCGTTACCCATGTGTATGTCTTCATCGTCAGGTGTTATTTTTATATGGTGGTTTGCTCAGTTTTGTTCTTTGTTCCCTTAATTTTTATTGCTTTGACTGTTATCACCTGAAATAAAACTACTGTTTCACTCTCCCTCGTTGCCGAGTTCACCACTCATTAGAGTTTCCAGTTTTGCACTTTAAGAGTGCCTTATGATGTGTAAGGTACAATGGGGCTAAAGACACCTTAAGGAAACTGTGCTTTTCACTACTCCCAAAATGTAAGATTGCACAAATTACACATTGTTATTGAAAAGTGATAAAGCAACACGGTTTGTGGGAAAATAGATTATAAAAGTGGTATGTTTTAAAAACTCATGAGGTGGTAAAACCGACCCCGGGCAAAAGGCACCCAGCAATAATACAAAAACTTTAGCTAAAGTAACAAGTTCTGCATGATGTTTTCAAATATGATAAAAAAGTTAATACTTGTTCAGAACAGTCGCTTCAGCAAATTTTGCACTAATTTTATAATAAACAAAAAATCTAATTAAAAATAAATACATTAAATACATTTTAACATTTATTAAAAAACGAACTAAATTAATTCTCATTTACAAAAAAAAATGAAAACAACTCTTGCCTTCACTGGGAATCGAATGCTCTACTGTTTGAGTTAAAGGAACTATACTGATTTATTTATTTTTTTTGCCATCTAGTAGTTGAAAGAAGAAAAAATCAGAAGTGCCTTTTAGCCTTTAGTTCCTTCAGGGGATGCTGTTGGAAGTATATGATGATCTGCAGCTTCACTGATGAAAAGATTTACGTTCATTAAACACAGACTGTTCTGCCTCCTCTTGTTCTATTAGCAAAAAAAAAACTCTGGTTTATATGTTTGTAAATGAAAATTGGATAGTGTGACAAGAGCTTAATAAGGATAACTGAAAATGTGTATTAATAGAGGGATATACTGTATATAGTGCACAGTCACTTCATATAACAAGAATGGCTAAAAATAACTAAATATTTAGTTTCTTACTTTTTCTTCTTTATCTGTTCTTTATCTCTTTCTGTTTGTCTTTCTCTTGCTTTGTCTTCACTTTAGCCTCCCAACCCCAATCTAAACATAGGTCCAGTTGGTGGAGGTCAGTCTCTGCACTCTCAGACTAACATGAATAATAGTATGGGCACTGGCTTGCCACCCACCTCACTAATGCAGAGCCAAATGAGCAATGGTAGACCCTCTCTGCATCCGAGAACCGCTTACGTGCCTGTGCTGTGCTTGAGCTTGCTTATTTCTTTGTAAAAATTATTTTCACTGTATGTGGTACTTACTGTTTTTACACACACACCCCTATACTTTTCTGCAGCTTGCCTGGCTCTTAACAACACTATGTGCCCTTTCATTTGCTATCTTTGTGTGGTGGTGTTTTGATGAACTGAATGTGTGCTTTATCCTGACTGTGAGTGTGTGTTGTCAGGCCCCAGCCACGCCCTCACCCAGCAGCAGCCCAGCACATCCATGAGCCATGGCACGCGGCCTGGGTACAGCCACTCAGCGCCCACCTCTCAGGGTCAGGTGGCCTATTCATCCATGGCCTCTCGTGCCAACCTCAACATGCAGTCCAGCCAAGGTGAGCCCGGGATGGAGCTCACCTGAAAGTCCCATCCAGAAATCAATGTAATTGGACAAGAGAATGGGGGATGAGGGCTTTAAGGAAAGCTTTATTCAGAAATAAATGATGTCATGTATGGTATTTATATAGATATATTTTGCATAAAGGTAATAAAGCCCATTTTAGCCATGTACACACTACAGTTTAATTCGGTTATCAGTTTACCTTTTAGTGATTTATCCCGTCCTGTACACACACAGTTCAGTAAATCACGGGAGTGACAACAGCATTCTACAATCGAATTGACTCCCAAAAAATGCAGGTAGTGACAACCGCATTTACAAAAATTCTACGCAATATGTACGGAACTGAACTGAACAACGTGTCTCTCTGTATGTTTGTGGTGCAAGAAAACCACAGGGAAAGTGGTATGAGCTTTGACTCATCCATGTCAGATCTTACTAGTAAAAACAGCAAACAAGAACAAGCCCATAATAAACAGAGAAAAATCCAAACGCTTTATCTTAAAAACAAAATTATCTCAACCTGCTCGCTTCAATATCTCCTTAAACTTTATAAAAATCAAGCCCAAAAATGCTTATAAAAAGCGGACATGGCAACACTTCAAGAGCGTGCTCTGCAAAGCAGCCTTACAAACATAAACAAAACACAATGGCTCTGTTGATGGGGGTTTAGATAAAATTGCTGAACATAAGTCTTTGGTCGCTATAATATTACTTTTGACAAAAATATTGGATACCAAACACATGATACACCATAATGTTGATATGGTGACCACACTGTCAATGGCAATTTTGGGAGTGAGTCATGTTCTGAACACAAATTTAGAGAATCCCGTATTTAAATGTGGTTGCTGAAATGAACTGCTGAAATTTTACAGTGTAGCCTTTGACATTTTTTTTATGCCCGATTCAACAAATTTTATTGTTTTTATATTGACCAAATTATATTTTCCATCCCCTAACCCAGGGCTGTCCAAACTCGGTCCTGGAGAGTTTAGCTCCAACTTGCTTCAACACACCTGACTGGAAGTTTCTATGCCTAGTAAGCGCTTGATTAGCTGGTTCAGGTGTGTTTAATTAGGGTTGGAGCTAAACTCTGCAGGACACCGGCCCTCCAGGACCAAGTAGCGTGCTCTGCAAAGCAGCCTTACAAACATAAACAAAACACAATGGCTCTGTTGATGGGGGTTTAGATAAAATTGCTGAACATAAGTCTTTGGTCGCTATAATATTACTTTTGACAAAAATATTGGATACCAAACACATGATACACCATAATGTTGATATGGTGACCACACTGTCAATGGCAATTTTGGGAGTGAGTCATGTTCTGAACACAAATTTAGAGAATCCCGTATTTAAATGTGGTTGCTGAAATGAACTGCTGAAATTTTACAGTGTAGCCTTTGACATTTTTTTTATGCCCGATTCAACAAATTTTATTGTTTTTATATTGACCAAATTATATTTTCCATCCCCTAACCCAGGGCTGTCCAAACTCGGTCCTGGAGAGTTTAGCTCCAACTTGCTTCAACACACCTGACTGGAAGTTTCTATGCCTAGTAAGCGCTTGATTAGCTGGTTCAGGTGTGTTTAATTAGGGTTGGAGCTAAACTCTGCAGGACACGTGAGGTGTAGGTTTAAGTTTGGACAGCCCTGCCCTAACCCTAAACCTACACCTCACACAAAATGTTCTGCCATTTTAGATTTTCAAAAAGCTCCATTCTGTATGATTTTAAAGCCTGTTTCCTCATGGGTACCAAAAAAAAGTCCCCACAAGGTCAAAATTTACTGGCATTAGTATCCTTGTGGGGAAATCTGGGAATACCAGGTACACACACACAGAAACACACATTTTGGGGAAAAATCTTAACAAAGACATGTTCTTGACAGGTTTCTTGATATTCATCCATGTGCTACTGTTGAGTTATTCTTCTGCATGGATAAAGATGCTACATTAGAAATATCTCTTGACCCTCAGGAGAGAGATCAAACACATTCAGTTCATCAGCAGGAGGCTGCTACCTTCCTCAAACTTTTGATTTAATCCTCTTTTTAGGCATTCTTTAAATCTTTAAAATCCTGAAATGCTGCCCTCTGTCCTTAACTGACAGTGTTTCTTTCTTGACTCTACCCCAGCTTCTTTTGGTTCTCCAAAACTGTACGGCAACATTTTAGTCCTGGATATAACCTCAGTGTTGTAAAACATTTTTTGAACATAAGACTTTTGTTTACATTGTCATTTCAATGTTGTAATGTTTGTGGTGCTGGTTCCCATTAGTTTCTATGATGCATCAGCAAGGCACTGGATCCCATTACTCATCCACCTCAGCAGGGGGTCAGCATTACCAGGGCCAGCAGACTGGAATAATGGCACAGGGAAACCAGGGGAACAGCATAATGTCACAAAGGCCAATGGGAAGTTATTGTGTCCCACAACAAGGTAAGGGCTGTGACCATTATTTTATTCAACTAGTTTTTATTTTTCTGCTGTTTTCCTATGTTACTTAAAGCTGGTTAGGGTTATGTTTAATTGTGCTGTAGATTTGCAGAGGTGAAATCACAAGTGCTAAGTTTAGTAAGTTTTAGCTAAGTTTTTTTTTTCTTCGATGCAATGACATTGATTTCAATACTTGTCAGAAAGTAAAAGAATTCTAGACAAAAGGATGACAGTCTGTTATTTCACTTAAGTCAGTGTACTTTGGGAGTGATAAATGCATTTAAATGTTGAAGCAGGGCCTAAAATGACATTCGCCAAGTGCCAAATGTGAGTAAAAATCAGCCTTTACGAGTATATGAAACAGTGTCATTTGCCAGTTGGATGGCAACCTTTTTAATTAATTCTAACAATGACTGGGAACAGAATTGATCCAACTCACAAATCGCCTAGAATGTGTTGTAATTATATAGATATATAATTATATAAGATATAGCTACACCCAAGATGGAGGTATTCTGTCTGTGCTATTGTGTGGCAAATGTAGGGAGAGTACTAGGGATGGCCAACATCCTTGCAAAATGTTACCACAACTTGCTTTATTTATTTTGCCACTAAAATAACTGTTCAGACAAAGAAACAAATGGGTATGGGACAAACCTCAGAGACAGGCCTTTTGCAGGCTGAAAGAGGAGAGTCTCAGTTATTTATGTAATTCCCTGAAGAATAGAGAAAGGAAAGGAAAGGAAAGGATGTGTGGCCAACAATGGTGTCCCATACTCAGAATTTGTGCTCTGCATTTCACCCATCCAAGTGCACACACAGCAGTGAGTAGTGACTAACACACAACACAGCAGTGGGCAGCCATTTTTGCTGTGGCACCCGGGAAGCAGTTAGGGGTTTGGTGACTTGCTCAAGGGTCTCACCTCAGTCGTGGTATTGTACAGTCGCTGTACATTCACTCCCCCCACCTACAATCCCTGCCCGACCTGAGACTCAAACCCGCAACCTTCGGGTTACAAGTTCGACTTTCTAACCATTAGGCCACGACTGCCCCCTAGAATGGAGACCTTGGGCCAGTTTTACTAAACAGGGCAAAATTGCACGAGAGCGCAATTCCAAAAGAGCGCCGATGGGCATGGAAATTTCTGCGGGTGATTTACTAACAACGCACAAATTAAAGAACATCTCATTTACATATCGACTAATGCAATATACCAAGCGCAGTGCAAATTTTGTGCAAAAAATTGCATCCATTTCAAGCGCAAAATAGTTTAAAACATGCTTTATTTGGGAGTTAAATAATGGCACAAATGCCAGTAATTTGATGAGCGCAAACATTAGTAAATCTCGTTGCGTGATTCATTTGAATACTCTACTCCCATAAATTTTGCATCTGAAAGGGAAACTCCTAGAAATGCATATTCAATAAGGTCAGGCGCAAAAATGACTGTGTTCATGCCTTTTCAGCGCTAGTTCTTCACTGCGCATCTTTAGTAAAACTGGCCCCTTGTGTCGATACTGACAGATTGGGGTCTCAATTGGGGGGGAGCCCAATCACATCTGAGTAGTACAAGAATTGTTGTATCTTCTGCCGCTGCTCTGAGAAATCACACTCAGTCTTGGGGTTTTCTTTCCAGAAGTTAGGCTTTATTTCAAGTTGAACAAAGCCGAGAAGTTCTCTGCAGAAAACATCTCCAGAATGTCTTTCTGATTCTCTTTATATACAGTTTTGACTTTAAGGCGTGGGGTATATTTCCATACAGTTTTCTTTATGCATATAGATTTGGAGCACAGCAAGCAATTTTCTTTTCCTGTTCCTCTTGCAGTAAAGGCTGTCCATCTATACCACTCATTATTTTGGGCTGTTTCCCATAATGCATCATTTTGACTGTCTTCATCACCTTGAATCTCATTATCTGTATTTCTACGATATTTGATTATCATTGGTTCTGTTGAGTTGCCTGGTTTCTCCTCGTTACTTTCTCCTGCATTGTCTGTTTGTCTGTTTTGTTTCCTTTCCGTCTTTTTCGTGGGAACTCTAGTACAGTGGTTTAGATGATACCAGGTTGTGCTTCCCTCCACTTGGACTGCTGTTGGAGTAGCTCTCACCACTTTGTAGGGTGCATCTGCAATAAGAACATTCAAAAGTGAAGTAGGTGCTACCAGGTTTCCTTCATGTGTACGCCAGATCTCTTGTGAGCCTTTTTTAGCTCCCCTTTGGTGCCACATTGATTGTTCATAGGGGCCGCCCTATATGTTGGATGGGAGTCCCATCACTTTTTTTTAAAACCTCTTTGTTTACACACTGCTCCGAATAGATGACATACACCATGAGCATATGCTGAATCTGTGAAAATGTTGGCAGTTTGTCCTTTCGCTAACTGACATGCAGCTGTAAGAGCTTTTAATTCTGCTAATTGAGCAGAGCAAGGCTGTACACAATGTTGTGATACCACAGGTACAAATTCTTCTTTGTCTCTCTTCACTACTGAATATCCTGTATGATTTCCTTCATGGTCTCTAAAGCTAGAACCATCTACAAAATAAGTGACTTCTGCTTCAGGGATGGGTGTTGATTCAAGATCTGGTCGTAATCTAGTAAATGCCAATGACTCATTCACACAATCATGGGGTTTTCCTTCAAAAGCCAAAGGAATTAATTCAGCTGGATTAACAGTATGGCATCGCTTAATGGTAACATCTAGATAGGTGAGTAGCGAGGAATAGGCCAGAATTCGAGCTTGAGTCAGGACAAATTTCCCTTGTTCTATTAATTCCACAATTTTGTGATGAGTATACAGTGGGTACGGAAAGTATTCAGACCCCCTTAAATTTTTCACTCTTTGTTATATTGCAGCCATTTGCTTGTCTTTACTGCATAGTTTTCTACCCAGTCAGCACTAAAGCCATTCATTCCTAGGAAAGTCATCATTTGTCCTACTGTCTGAGGCAATGGTGTTTTACTTATGCCTTCCAATTGAGCTGGAGCTATAGCTCGTGTGCCAAATGCAATCAATCTTCCCAAGTATTAAACTTGAGGCTGGCAATACTGGATTTTCTTTTTGGAGACTTTGTGTCCTCCTTGCGCTAATTTTGTCAATACCTTAATTGAGTCTCTGTGACATTGTTCTAGTGAGGAAGAACAGATAATTAAATCATCCATATATTGTAATAGTGTTCCGTCTATTATAAGATCTCTTATTTTCCTAAACACGTTTACACTTCTCATCCCTTAATCCAGACAGGGCTCATCATTCATTCATTTTCTCTTTATTTATAGGGATAAATGCATTCATATTGTTTCCCTTTATTTATTCAGGGCTAATCATTCATTCATCCCTCTCGGGTGTGGCAAGAGCTGCATCCACACTCTGCCAAGAGTATTTCTACCTACACCATCCAGTTTTAATTTAGGTCACCTATTAAGGCCTTCCTAACAGTAAACCAAATTTGTGCATGCAGTTATTTTTTCTGGAATAAAAACCCCTTTTATTTTATTATTTTTTTTTTTTTCTAATTCTGGAAGAGCAGATTTTAAGTGTCCTTACCACCAAGGGCATTTACTACATGCTGTTAGGAGACAGAAATCGCAAGCTGATCGTCACCGTCGCCCCAATCCTGAATACACTCCAGGGCAATGGGTCTGGTTGTCTACCCGAGATCTCCGCCTCCGACTCCCATGCAGAAAGCTCAGTCCCAGGTATGTGGGTCCCTTCCAAATTATTAAACAAATTACACCAGTTTCTTTCCGTTTGGCATTACCCGCTAATTATCGCATTTCTCCCACTTTTCATGTTTCACTTCTCAAACCCGCTGGTGGTCCGAGAGCGGAGGTCCACTCTTCTGCTCTTTTCCAATCACGTCGGGGTCACCAATTTGTTGTATCTTCTGCCGCTGCTCTTAGAAATCACACTCAGTCTTGGGGATTTCTTTCCAGAAGTTAGGCTTTATTTCAAGTTGAACAAAGCCGAGAAGTTCTCTGCAGAAAACATCTCCAGAATGTCTTTATTCGATATTTCCCTAGAGAAGGCCCCCCCCCAGTCTTGTTATGGTAAAGAAAGAAAGCCCACACTTATTTTTCCAGATGTTTCTCATCTGTGGGTCAGGGGAT